GCTCGGGGCCAGACGTTAGTGACTGTCTTAGGAGACAGAACCTCTGGTCCAGCTGATTTGTGTTGTAGTACTTCTCTGTTTATTCTCTTTTGTTAAATAAATTCTTCAAAGACAACGGTTTGTTGTAACTCAATTGTTTGCTCAGCCCCTCACCAGGAATATAATTTCCACGACACATACCATCAACACTAAAATGTGGTAATTAACATGCTGTACATTGTTTGTTTAATCGTTACAAAAATCGAGTGTGAACATTTTTTGTGTGTGTGGGGTGGTTATGCCCTGTTCTATTTCTTGGCCAGGTGCAGTGACTTCAATTTTTTATACGGGCTAAATCAACCAGATATAGTGTGTTAATTAGTGAGCTTCAGATGTGCTGGTAGGCAAGTGTTTTCTTTGGACATAACCAGGCAAGATGTTTCCCCCTGTGTCTAGTTTCCATGCTAAGCGTTGGCAAGCTGTAGCCAATCATTTCATTGTGATTTCATTGTGTCAGAGCATTTGATTTATTGATTGCTGTCGAGTGTAAAGAAAATTTCAACAGATATAACAAAAACAAAATACCTCTGGAATACATTACCTACGCTATCTTTAAGCAGATTTAAGGTTGGAAAAATGGATCTTGTTCTATACTATCTGTGTCAGCTTGATCAAACTTTTCATTTAAGGTATATGATTATTACGCTGAATTAAATATTCAAACCCAAGACTCTTCTGGCTGCACCATTCCATCAACAATCATTAATGATGTCTGGTGCATCACTTAATTCAATTATCCCCAAATTCAGCTTACATACTGTATTTGGCATCTGTGGAAAGGTTGGGCACTCCTCTAGAATTTAAAATAATGTTTGGCCACACAGTGTGAGTTTGTAATGAATGACTGGCAAGTTGGTGAACTTTGAGGGCTTAAAAATGTAATAATTTTGTAGTTTTTACATTTTAGTGTCAGGTTTGGGAACAGGAAACAAATAGGCAAATTTCAAAAGTGACTTTCAGGAGCTTATTTGAGCACATCACAACTTATGAACTGCCACCTGTAGATTTGTGAATATCACATAAGTGTCAATGTAAAATGATTCATGAAAGTATTAAACACGACCTCACTTATAAGCTGAATTAATTGCTCACACCAAAGTAAATTTTGATGATAAATAACTAACTGTACAGAGTGTGCAGCCCGTTCTCATCTCAGGGCGTCACATACCGACGATTTGAGAAAGAGTGACAAAGCGTAGTTATTTGACGCTAGCCCCTACCCTTAGCACAACCATCAGAAATGTTAGTACCTAATCCTACGTCACTGAATTTATGCCTGTCGACCGGCTAACCCTACAGCTGCGCACATCGGCTTCACGGCCGATATGCTAACAGGTAGGGTTAGCCTCCCTTGTGTTGCTGCAACGTAGGAAACAGGGCCGTTTCATACGGACTCTGAAGGGTACCTGTAGCATAAAATCCTTACGCTTTGTCACGCTGTCAGAAAGCATCAGTTATGACACATTGAGATGAGAATGTGTTGGATAGTGATAAATGATGATCATTTTTGAATCAAGCTTGTTTTTATCATGACATTATTTTATCAAATTACAATTAAAGAGAAACTAAAGCACTGCTATTACGTCTTTTAAGTTTTGGTGAGCCCTCAAACAGTTCAAAATATGTATTCTGTAACAGACATTGACAGTCATAGACATACCTTGACATATTTTAACTGTTGGCTTGGCTTGAGAGACAGGAGAGGTATCATTAACCCACAACACTAAGCTAGCTCTCACACATGTGACCACATTCACATAGGTTGGTCTGTCCTTCAAACCAATATTACTAATACAAGTCTCAAGTATTTGTATGTGAAAAGACACTGTTACACTCCCAAACCAAGAGATGAAATGGTTGACAGAAACCATTCAAAATGTAAAGAGGGTTTGACACATCCTGTACAAGCACGTTTCTACTTCCTGTGGTGTGATGTTGATCATTTTTAGCACTGTGGGGAATTGTTATGAGGTGATTTTTTTCTCTCTCTCTTTACTTTGAAAACGCAAAATTCATACACATACCCTTGTTATCAAAGGTGTTATTATTTCATGTGAAAATTATAATATTAGAGGATTTTGGAATTTTCCAACCTTGTTTTCCCATGTTTTTGTGTCCATGTGAATAATTGGGACAAAATGTTTTAAAATTGATCTAGTGTTGAGCAAACGTGCTGCAGTTGACAGCAGCGAAAGAGGGCTGCAACATAGTCCTTGCAGGCAATGGCTCGGATTGTTATTACAAGTGTCTGACGACATTGTGGAAAGGATACCTACAGAGATAGACTGTTTTTAAAGAGTGAGATTAAAAAAATTTTTTTGATTAAGCAGAAACTGTCACTATATTGCTATATTTATTACTATATTTTACCTCGCAGAACATGGAAGTTGCTGGTTTACCGCTGCCTTGGTCAGTTAGTTTGTTTGTGTTGTTGTGTAATTTTGGTGTTTTAAAGGGTTAAAAACACCAAAATCACGCAATAACACAAATTAACCAATCAAGGCAGCGGTAGACCAAAGAGGTATAATTACTATTTTTGTCAAGGGAGTCGCATACACACAAAAACATTGGAAAAACAGTTTGAAAAATACCAAAGTTACCTTTTACAGCTTTTTAAAATTATTTCAAGAGACAAGGTTTGCATTTTGAAATAAAATTTTGATGAAAAAAAGGTGTATTTTTTGCATTCACTGTCAACAGATTCCTCCAACACGGTGACCCCATATTTGACCTGACCTCTGCTGATGGTGACACCGGTGCTGCCTGGATGAAGATGGACTATTCCTTAGAGCCGATTACACCCACAAATCTGTCATCATCCTCACCTGAAAGACGAGAGGCAGACGCTGGAAAAGAGGTAGACAGAAGGGGAGAGAGAGAGAGACAGAAATAAGTGGTTTGTGATGACGACGATGATGATGATGATGATAATGGAGGAAAGAGGAGAAGAGATCACAGAGAGTTCGTAAGTCCAGATTTATCCTCACCTGAGCCAGTCGCTGCACATCCAGTCACCCTTGGCAGACGTCCACGGCCAAACACCAGAGGGAAAAAGGTCAGCCAGGGGCCATGGGGTCCCACCACGGGGCAAAGCACTCCTCAATCCCTCTATCCACACACACACATACACACACTATTCCCACTCTCATTCCTCATGCCCCCTTGACCTCACTATTAAAACACAGGAGCAAATCTCCCGATTGGTCACAGCGGCTCAGAAACAAATGACGCCAAATACCTGACTTCTGTATGGCCTTTTCTGCAGGGATGCATGAGAGGGCTACAGCCGTCGGATTTGGCATTCCACTTGTGCAAATATATTCCGATATTGGAAATGTGGTTCCCAACAGTCCACATGATTTTCGGGCAGGGAGATCTGTTTGAGTTGTGTGGAGTTTACATGCCACAGGCGACATTTCAACAATAGTTACCAGAACAAAAAATGTGTGTTAACGGGACTGATATTGTGACAGAAAAGAGAAGAAATAAAGAAACCCATCTGGTTAACTTGCGGCTTAATCAAACCAAAGACAATAGTGGAAATTTTCTTCCGTCCTAATGGGATGTCTTGAAGTAAGCACCTTTTTATTTACTTCTGCATCTCATCAGGGAAAAATTACCCGAATGTTATGAATCCCCATTAGGATAAATGGCTAATTGTTTTTTTAAGTTGTTAGTGTTTTACATGCAGTTTGTTTTGTTTTATTTATTTTTATGTTTTGTCCTTGCCCAGGACACCATATTGGTTAGTATTTTTCTTTTGTTGTTTTGTGGATAATATGACAGATGTTGTGTTTATGACACAATCAGATCAGATTATTGTAGCAAATAATTAAATCATTATATAGGCCTACACATTTTCATCATCTATTGCTATATTCCTATTTTTTTGGTTGTGCGTTCACTTTGTACTGCACTTTTATCACATTGCACTGTTATTTTAAAAGGTAAATCTCTGTCACATATTAGGCTAATTCAGACATTCTGGCCACCTGTGGTCACTCACTACTGGTGTGACTGTGCCAAGTTTGTTTTTCACCTCTATATGCTATGCTCTCACAATAATAGCAGTGTCTAATCTGTAAAAACGAAGCTAACAGAGGTAGTTTTGTTTTTCCGTTTCCTGCTACAAGTCTGAAGTAGACAGTAGTGCATTGTGGCATGTGGTCAGTTTTTGTTGTGTCTAATACAAAAAGATGTCATAGAATTTAAACATGGAGGAAGCTCCATGTTTAAATTCGACCACTGACTGTTTTGACCGCTGAATTACCCACTAGGGGGTAATTCAGTGGTCGAAACAACGTAGTTCCTCTTATTTTCCCAGATGAACATTTGTGATACATATACCAACTGAACTGTGAAGAAAAGTGTTCATTAGTTTATAGAAATGTTCTACAGCTAAAGTGAGGACTTTTTGAATGAGTAAAATACTGTTTGTCTAAGTTTTTTCTTAATATTTACAGTCTGGAATAGACAGATCTGACTGTAAATAAACATTTTAGCTTAAATTTGCAAAAAAAAATGTTTTATCAAGTTTCAGCATTTTTCATTTAGATATTTATAAACGATCTGAAGTCCGAGGGAAATGCTTGAAATAATTTTGTTTCCTGATGACTAATCCTTGCTAAATGAATAATAGGTGTTTGGTCCGTGTGTACAGTGTTGCGTGTTGGTCGATGTGTATTCATGTGTCAGTAGGATGAGACAAAAGCTCCTCAGCCCACAGTAGCTGTGTGGCTTGGCCTCTCTGAACTCTGCCGTTTGATTTGTTCCTCCATTGCCACTGTTTATTTCTGCTCTTCCTGTTTGTGCTCAACTGACCGTAAGAGCTGTTCCTGTGAATTCTGGGTAAAATTTAAAAACGGCGGGGTTCCGCTGGTTGTGGTGGGTAGGTGGGTGGAGGGGAGGTGTGCAATGTGTGAAAGATGAGAGACAGAAAAGACGGCTCTCGACCACAATGCTAACATGTCAACAGAGATTAAACTAGTTTATTATTTTCAAAGAGGGAAAAAAAATTACGAAACAAAAAAGCAGTCATATTTTACACTAGTGATTATTATTAAATTTTTACAACCATTCAGTCTGCATAACATAAAGAAATAATTCTACATCTTTGTTTATTTCGTATTTTTGGTACTCTGATTTATACATACAAATAACAAATACAGGAACTTTTTTCACAATGCATATAATCTGTGGGCAGGAAGAAAGTCTTTCAGGTGATCAAATGTGTGTGTACGTGTGTGTTTGTGTTTGTGTGCGTGGATGTATGTGTATGTACGTGCGTGCGTAACACAAACCAATTGCCCGAGACCTATAGCACATCCAAAAAATAGAGAGAGATGCCTGCAGCTAGAGCCGCTGACTCTCTGCAAACTTAATGCAACACAATTCACGCAGGCGAAAACCAAGGCCTGCCCTTTTTCAAAAGTCTCTCCTTCTCATCTTCTCACCTCCTCCTCCCTTTTTTCTTTACTCTGAACGTCCTCTCCTCACTCCACTGGCGGCAAGTCTCTCCACCTGCTGCGACTCGTACCCTTCTTGTCGTTAGCTGCCCAGGGGCATGTTTCCTTTTTTTCTTACTTAATTAAAAAGTCTTCATTAAATGTTGTGTATTTCATACAATTTGTACAAATATATTCAACGTCTGTCTCTCCTCATCTTCAAGAAGAAGAAGAAGAAGAGGAGCGGGGGGTTCCTGTTACACAGGTGCAAGGTGAAGAGAAGCGGGTTTGGAAAGTTAGGAAGAGAGCGTTGTAAAAGTTTTTTTAATGTCTGTTTTTGTGATGTTCGTGTGTGGAAAAATGGCTTTTTGTACACAAATGGAGCTCCTTATCATGTGGATCAGCTGGGAGGACAGCCTCGATGTGGTGGCGGTGGTGTGGGAGTAGAAAATGTTCTTTCTCTCCCGGGCTGAGGAGGGGGAAAAAAACTTCCCCCTGGAGGTCAGTGCGCCACAGTCAAGTCAAGTCTGCAAAGCATTCACATCGCAGAGGTACACTTTGATTTTATAAAAATAAGATACAACTGAAGACAAAGGAGCCTAAAGCCTGTCATTCTCGCACCGCAGCTCGGTGGTGGGACAGGATAGCTTAGGTCGGGACGAGGAGCAGTTTTATTGTCTTTTAGGATATGGAGGCAGATCAGCAGAGGTACCAAGGGATATGGTGGTGGCGAGGCCGATGGTTCAGGGGTGGTGCAGCAAAGGGAGGTCTAACCCATAGCTGTGACCATACTGGAAGGGTGGTGGGGAGCAAATGGGAGGCTCGAGGAGGGGTGCATGGGTGTGGGGGTGGTCAGCATGTGGCCTGAGTGCGAGAAGGGAGGGAAGGATGACATGTGGCGGGACAGGGCGGCCGGGCTGAAGGAGCTGCTCTTGTCCATCAGGCTCTTAGAGAAGTCGTCCATGCTGTCTTGGGACTTTTTGCTCTTCTTGGACTTGCTGGACATCTTCCTGTTCCTGGTCTGGATGCCTTCCTTCTTCATGGTCAGAGGTCGGTTGATCTGCTCTCGAAAGGAGACAGAGAAGATGGCAGATTAGTCTTTTGTTGCAACCGATTCATAGCATTGCGTTCACATGCAAAATGGAAATTTTAAAAGCGGAGATTTCAACATCGAGACATTCGCAGTTATGGCTCCATTTATATTAAGCAACACAATGAAAAAGAAATCTTAAGTGAGGGTTGTCACCAAGTTTCAAAATAAATAAGAAAATGTGGCACACACTGAGCTTTTAGTTCTCTTTGAGGCAGATTTTGGGGTTTTAGGGAGACATAATGATATGTAATGGAGTTCCATTAAGAGGCAAATCTGACTGTCCCATCCTGAAACAGAAGATTGTTTATGTGTACTCTGTGTGTGTATGTGTCGAACATTGTGTGTGTTGGGGTGGATTTAAATGTTGATTCCTTTAAGCTGAACTGTATCTGAGGCTGTGGCTATGCCAGAAAGAAAGAGAGAAAAAGGAAAGATGGAGGGGGTGGAGGGAAGATGGAGAGAGCGTGTGCAGAACAGAGACGGAGAAGAGTCTGGCAGCTAATGTGCAGCCAGTCGACCACAGAGACACATGGCCATGACGACCGCCGGCATCGGCCAAGTCCTCCTCTCCACCCTCCTCCTCAACCGCGTGGCCGTCTCCTGGCCAAAATGGCCCCAGCTGCCATATTCCTGCATAGGTTTAGCTGGGAATGAGAGCTGGATGATGGAATTCCGGCTGTGGGCAGGATTATGAGGGGAGGTGGATGAGGCCGACTGGCTTCCTGATCTTTCTGAGCGGTTCTTCCCGGGGAAATGGGAACAGGGATTTCTCCCTCGCTCTCTCTCGCACTGTCTGAGACATTGGCATTTTTCACTGACTCTTTAAGCAGAGTGGCCTCGATGATTAGTGGAGGGCAGAGATCTGTCCCAACCCCCCCGTCCCCAGTGATGTGGTTTTATTCTCTAAGATGTGGCTCCATACTGGGGGACTTTCTCTGCCTTGCTTCCAGCTCTGAGGCATGCTACACCCACCTAAAACTGGTTAGGCCTGAGCTCTTTGATGCTGAGATGTCTACCCTCTCACAGAGGAAGCCTTGGGCCTCCGTCCTGCGCTCGGCCGCCGCCCCCATCAAACAAAAGCCAAGTCAAAGTGTTTGAGTCAATGACCACAGCAGAATACACAATGTAGCCTCTCCCATCACTAGCAGTTAACCACCTGAAACCTCAGCCCCTGCAAAGAGGTGTCAAAGCTGAACACTGTACTCCACTCAGAGGTAAATAGATGAGAGACACTTTTCACACGCGGTCAGTAAACCCCTGATTACTACAAACAGGCTGTCTGCATTATAGGTGTTAACATGGCCTCATGATTGTGGCAACCTTTGTCTTTTCACAAGTTTCTTATCCAAAACAAAGCTTATGGGACAATAGACAGCTACCATCAGGTGTTTTGGGTCAGTACACACACATCAGGAGCACATGGAGACGAGCAGGAACTCCGCTAAATTCTCCATGAAGAATGTGGAATTTGTTTAAAAGGGAGCAAGCCCCAATAGAAGTCTGGATTTACCAAAATAAACTAATTGCACAATTACGCAAAGGTCGGGGTCAGTTCAAATGCTAATATGTAACTGGGAAATATTATTCTTCTCTCCTTTTAACCTTGGTCTGAATCTTTTTCTGCAGCGCCTATCTGCCAAGAGTAACATGGGAAAATGATTTAACAGGGAGAGCTTGCGTGACAAGCAGGGCAGGAGCAGGATACTCTTCCCCTTACACACAGGGATATGGGATATAGTCAACCTTTATCTGTCATCCATGAGAGGGGAAAATATTACCTACATGTGGCTTCAGAGCAGTTAGCCTGGTTATTATTATTATTAGTTTCAACTACAATGGCGTCTGATTAAAAGTGACAGCTTTGTGCACAGGAGAGGAGAGAGGGGGAGAGATAAACGAGTCCCTGGGGTTTTCAGATTGAGGATGTGAAATGATGTGGTGAGGCACTAACCAACCCAAAACGAATCAGGCGGATTGGTGGTCAGAGGGGGGACTCCAAGTCCCTGGTGCGCTTGAAACCAAAAGGCTAGAAATAAGGAAAAAATCGGCCTGGAAATTAATCGAATTTTAATTAAGCCCCCCTTCTTTAATATTCAAAAGCAAGGCGGCTGCGGGCTTAGTTCACTACGGTCTTACACATTTTAGATTCGCACTTACTGCCAATAAATCATATTAATTCTACAGTATTTGTTATCGCCTTGCCCCCGGAACCTCTCTGCAGGGAGAAGTCAGATAAGGGAGGGGGGGAGGTGCCCAGCACGACGTGATGAGAAAGAAATAGAGAGGGTAAGGAACATGGAGTTGAAGAAATAAATATTCAAGACAACCTTTGATGGGTTAGTAAGATTATCCTATGAAGGTTTATTACTTACATTGTGCAGTTTAAAGTAGAGGCCGCAGGCGTTACACACCGGGTCCCCGTTGGCGTTTCTCCGCCACAGCGTCGTCGTTGTCGTTTGACAGTTTGCACATGACGTCCCTGCCCGCCTGGCTGCGGACTGTACAACAACACAGAAAAGCCACAAAACAAAAACGTCACACGACCACACAATAACCCAATCAACATGAAGGTTTATTCTAACAGATTTAATACCAAGATTCAGGGCTTCCATTCAGAAATTGATTTTAGGAATGAAATGTAGTTGGGTGTTTTATTTGGGCATTTAGGAACTTTGACTAGACGCCCCAGTGCACGTCTTTAGGGCACTTTAGGGTTGACCAGGAACAATATGGGATTCAAATTCGCATCGCGATAAATTTGGTGTTCTGGGATGTCTGTGTAATTTTAGCAGCCCTGTATACATGGTGGCATCTTGCACAGTAGCCTAATACATCTGCATCAAATGCAATGAAGAAAAGTTTATTTCATTTTCTTTCTTCTTTTTTTTTTCACTTGTTGTGTAAAGCTATTAAATTGCTAAAACCTGGTCGAAACTTTATTTTGACTTTATCTACACTCAGTGTCCACCCATAGGAATTCTTTTTTTATATCCAGTGCAAGCTGAAAATAGTTTAAAATAAAGACAGAAATCCCAAAAACAGAGCTGCTTTCACTCGGGGCTAAAAATAGCGCCATAGAGCACATACCTCCTGGAGAATAAATATTTACAGAAGACATAAAAGCAGTGCCTTGAAATGGGAGAGCTATTAAATCTGATTAAATGTCTCCTTAAAATGTGTGTTTCTGCCACGGAGGCTTGTTTTAAATGTCGACCTCCTGACTTAAACAATTGAATTTTTTTTCAAAGGGGCCTGAACGTGTTCGTATGGATTTGGTATCAATAAAATCAAAAAAGCGCAGTGGACTTTTTAGTTTAGGTTTTTAAACATGGACATTATGAAAAGAAAATGTGAATATATGAAGCAGTGAAATGAGCCATATGGAAATAATTGCAGGCCAATTGAAAGCATGATAAAAAAGGAAAATGTGGGTATTTTTGGCTTCGCTGCAGGCTACTAGCAGAGTAAAACCCTCACTTCATCCTGACACAGTGAAAGTCATGTCTTCCCATGGATTTAGCTGCCTGTCTCACAGCCCACTTTTCTGCAGTGGCTTGACATTGATGTTATAATCTCTAAAAACAATCAATAGACAGGTGACCGCAAAGGACACACTAACGTAAAGGACTACATTATCTCTGGGAGGGATTTCCAATTATACACATGTGGTGGCCTAATAACCCCTGCTGCTGTGTGCTGTGAATAACCAATCAGATTGGAGGAATAAACCTTATTAAGTCTATTTATGGTGTGCGTATTATGGCTGTAATCCCTGTCGTCTTCTTTGCTTTTTATTGCATTTTCTTGCAGTATCACAATCCTTTGACTTTTTTCACCCTCTTGATTTAGAAAAAAAAAAAGCCAATTCACTAAATCCTTAAATAACTCAATGTTTTCTTCCACCAAAAGGTTAAATTTGAGGTGTGGTCGATGTGATGACTTTTACAAACTATCAAATTAGTGGGTCATATTGGTCATAGATCCTCCTCTGATGTCACTTTCTGGCCTCCAAATGAGATTTCTGCCTAATCTTCAACATCCATAAATACAAACTACTAGGTCAAATGTGGCCTGACCATCCTCCTGTATTTAAGCAGCGTTTCTAAGGCTAAACAAATCTCAAGTCGTGACTCTGTGTTGGGCTGGCTCGGACTCCGCAGCCTTTATGTTTTGACTGGGGAAGCGGGCTGTGTTGTTAAAAGCGACTTATCTGCGCTGCTCAGATATCCGGCAGCCCTTTCCTGGGAAGTCGGGTTTTCACATTAGAGGCGAGGCAGAGGAGAGAAGAGGTCCAGGGCAGGACTGGACAGCCATCTTTGCCTCGAAAGATTTTTTTTTTTTCATAAGAAGGCAGGGGAACTCCTCTAAAGCTCATAAGAGATGCAGCTATGAAGCAAGGGGCTTTCCCTGAAATAACTGCAAAAAAAAATATCTCCATGCGAAGCAATCTTAAGAATTGCAACAAAAAATAGCCTACCAATAGCCCAAATATATCCTAAATACTAAAATGTTAAAATAAAGTTCATATGATGGAACTCATTGTGCGTTTTTGAATGCAGGCCTGCAGCCACACTGCAACAAGCTACAGTGGAAGCAGTTTTCTCTATAATGGAGGCAATGCATCTCCAGAATACACATGGGGCCTATTGTTTAAACAGAGTACTCTGTGAATCAATGACAATTTTAGCAAATAAAAAATAGCATCGTCATTGCATTAAAAAAAAAACTGTGCAGTTTTTTCTATGGTAGTATCTGAAAACAGAGACCTGCACTTGTCGAGTCAATTTCCTGCAGCTAATAGGCCTACTTCTTCCTGGATAGGGGAAAAACAGAGAGAGAGACGGAAATGTCATCAATAGAGAAATGTGGTGAAGACGTACCAGCCGCCGCTTGGGTTTGATGAGGGGGCGATTCTGCCCGTTCATCTTGTGATAGAGTCCGCAGGCGTTACACAGATAGTGACCCGTACCGTCCCGCCTCCACAGCGGAGTCGACGTGGCCCCGCAGTTCACACACTCTCTACCTTCTGCAAGAGCCAACACATACACACGCACGCGCGCACACACACATAAACACACACACACACACAACATGGAGACATGTTCCAGGTCAGTTAGTCCTTAAAAATTAAAAATTAATTCTTGGTGAAGCTTATGTAATCTAAACTGAAAGTAGAAAAGGTTAGTGAAAGGATGAGATTTTTAGATATTTATAAAACATGTCAGATGAAATATAACATTACAGCATCATTACAGCAACAAATTTCAATAGCCTACTAAATATAATGCAACATTGCCAATATAAACATGCATTTTACTGCAGCAGGTTTTTTGTAACACACATTAACACACGTGGTTAGTGTTGGTGGTGAATAAAAACAGTTGTGTTAAGGTCCATAAGGCAGAAATCATTTAAATAAACCACACAATCTCCAAGCTACGTGTCCTTGAACAGGATTTTCAGACTAAGCAAAATGCACTTTAGTCGGGCCTTCTTCTTTCTCTCATCAGCCAATTTCTCCTTTAAATAATAATAAAAATAATTTGTCTAAGTATATTATATTTTGTTTTTGAAATTATTGAGATGGTGTTCATGTTTGACTGGCACTTCTCTAGTGACACCGACAGGTGAGACGCGCACTAACAGTTTGATTATAGTATGGGGGGGCTGAAACTGAAACAAGGGAGCTGCAGTCACATTATTTGAAAGCAGAGACTCACACAGCGCTTTTGTGCAACGCCGAGAGCCTTTTGCATTTTCATGCAGCCGCACTTCCCCTTTTTTCGAGCTGCAAAAACACGCACAGCCCGACTTCTTCAAGAGAGATGCATCAGACCGGGTCGTACCGCGTTTAGATTTGATAGACATGCAAGCACAGGACGTGTGTGTTACTTTCTAAGACTGGTTCTGAAAAGAAACAGGATCTGTGTCGGATCCAATGCATAAGACTTAAACAAAACAGGCCTCTGCAATGCAGAGTTTGTATAGGCCTATTGCACAAGTTGTGTTTAGATTTCAGAGAAATGCTTAAATGCTTTCTCTGAAATAGTAAGTTTGAAGCACACACTGCACTGATAACCTCATTAAAAAGGAAATATTCTTCAGATCGCGAAATATCTTTAAATGCACATTATCTAACATTATACTCGAATTAAAATCTTTATTTGCATTAATGGCCCATCGTATGATGCTGAATAATCCCGATGATATGCATCAACTAATCCACTGTTTTCTATAGCCTACTCCCATCAAAGCCGCTGATATTAATCTCATTACAGAAAACTGGTTTTCAGCTGCGCAGCAATAACCTTAAAAATAATTACCCCCCTCACAATTTGGAAATATCTCCCCTCACTCTCTCTTTCTCTCTCCTCTATCGGTGGTTCGTGCACTGAGCCACGGCGACGGTTCACCCGCTTTTCCCTGTGAATGAACAAGCAGCATCCGGTGCTCTACCGCTGGGTAAACAATGCAACTGTGGCGTGCACTGGTCTGACAGTAATGGGATTATCTTAAACATATAAACTGGGCGACACAGCCCGGAGAGCTGGCTCCCCCCCTGTCTCTCTGTTCCCCTGTGTTAGTGTAGAGGAAGATGGAAAAAAAGACCAAAATTAATCTACGAATTCAACTCTGAACTCGTTTACGTCATGATGATTTTATTTAGCTATTTAGGGGGAAAATATCCATTGAAGTCTGGGAAATAGAGTTTTGTTTCTTTTTTCAAAAAATGTAATTCAAGATTTTTCATATTTATTTTAAATATATTGTAAGTATATACTTATTATTATTATTATTATTATTATTATTGTCAGATGATGAAAGAAAGCTTTGAGGCATTTTGATGCGGCTTTTATAATACAGGTTGACCTGTGTGGCCTTTAGCCCCACAGGAGAGCTTGTTCGTGTGAGGGATGGATGAGCTGCTCATGGGCATTTTTTTTTTTTTGTATGAGATTAAACATGGCTGATCATTAAGGCTGCAAATCTGGGGAATAATGTTAGATCAAAAGGGAATGTAATAAAGCGCACGCCTACCTGAACAGGACCTTGTTTTTGGTCTTGTTTTGGAACCATAACTAGAAGGTGACCCACCTATCAGGCTACTTGGTGGGAAGAGGCCTGGGCCGTATTCGGGGACATAGGATGGGTATGTGGCGATGGGGTGGTGGGCAGAGGATGACCCTGCTCCGATTGATGCCACGCTCCGGCTGTGAGCTGACTCCAGTTTCATACTCTCGGCCAGGGTCACCTGGTACTTTATGCACTCTTTATCTTCCTGCCGCCCGGAGCTGCTGGAGCCCGGGGTAGATATGCCTGGGTCCGGGGATACATCTTTCGGAGGGGTTGGGGGAAACGTGAAGAGATGTGGACTGGAGTGACCGGTGGACAGGGAGGAGGAGGAGGCCGGGGGATAGACGGACAGGCTGGCCGGGGAGCCGTGGTGCAGGGGGTTCTTGGGGAAAGGGCTCAGGTTCCACGGAGAAGTGCTGTGGTGCGGGGCAATGCCTTTGCTCCCCTCCAGCCAGGGCAGGGAGCCGTGCAGTAATGAGGGGCGGCACACCTGGCTACCTGGGCAGCACAGAAACACAAGACAACATCACAATCTGACCTCTGTGTGCAACAACAATAAATACATATTAATTCCTTTGCCATTTACCAAGTGTAAGAGTCGAGGTTTAAGTATAAACAAGCAGAGAGATTAAAGTGAACACATATTTACGCACTGATTTACCAAATACATTTACTGACTTCATTTCATCTTCTTTAATTAGTTTAGTATAGCTTTGGTTTCATTTACTACTTTCTGTCGCCGTGTAGAAATCATTCGATGACCTTTTATGTAGAAAAATTAGAGTTTCATGTGGCTACGCACGTGCATAATTTTGCTCGCTACATATTCCATTGAACAGGCCTTAATGCAACACTGCATACTTGTCACAAGACTCAAAAGAAACTACGTCGTGATTGACTGTTAAGGAAGTTAGAGGCTACAATATAGGGAACTTATGAATAGCATGATAATAAAGATAAAGATTGCACTCGGAAATGAAAACATGCTACCAACCAAAATATTCCAGGTGTATCTGTGACTTCTGTGTTTGTTTAAATAAGTAAACACTTGATTGATCCAGAGAACAAATTTCGCACGGGCTTTTGACATATGAGTCAGCTGAATGTAATTTTATGTTTGTGAAGTTTACACGGGAATAGGCTGAGATATAAGCGGCAGACAGCAACCAAATACAAACGAGATGCAAACTATACATATTTACGGCAACATTTCAGCTCTCGGGTTTTATAGACAAAGTCAGCTAAGGCCAAAACCAAAACCTGGATCTGGATCACAGTCAGAAAATACAAATAATTCAAAACACAGTGACAGTAATTGAGCATTTGCTGCAGGGATAAATTACGCACACTGATCTAAGCAGGATAATGTGCACATTATTAAATAAAAGGCCTAAACAGGCCGTTTACTTACTGTGTGGAGGAGGAGGGTACCTCTGGACGGCTCGGACAGAGTTTCCATAGTATGGAGAGACATGGTTCCCCTGTCCATCGATATTAAAGAGTACATCCACATCGTCAGCTAGGGGATACTGCGAAGGGTCCATGTATGAGTGGCCGAGGCCTGGGTGATGTGAGCCGGGATGCTGCTCGTTCAACACCGCGGGATGATGGCTCATCCATCGTGGCTGATCCGCACTTACTTCCATTGCTTTGCTTTTTTCTTTAACAAATGTTCATGCACGCCGAAGCAAACCAGTACAAGTCACAAGATAAGAAATAATCTGTCCCAAATCCGTATTTTTGTTAAATCCACAGGTTCCGCGCTTGCTTCCGATCACCTGGAGACAGAGAGCAAAATTTATTGTCTTAATTTCTCAAATTTGTTCACATGCACCACGACTAAAACAGGCAGGAGGCTCACACATATGTGAATTTACCCGGATTAAAAAAGATATATTTAAACACGAAACATACCCCACATTACAAATGCAACAAAGGTGTTGACATATAAATACGTCCAAAATGGAATCCAGTCCCACGCAGAGTTCCTGAACTTCTTCCTTCTCAGAAAAAAAGGTCAATGTTTCAGCCCAGCTCAACAAGTAGTGGAGGTTTTTACGGGCGCAGGGCTTGTTTGCAGTGGATGGCTTCACCGCACACTGACCAGCACCAGCAAGTTAAACTCACTGATCAAATCTCTGTTTGTGCGCAGTTGTAGCCCTCTCCATTAACTCCGCTCCTCTCTCTCTCTCTGCTTTCCTCTCGACTGTGTGGCTCTTGCTCTCTCGCTTGCTCTCTCTCTCTCTCTCCAGCTCCCCCTTTTTTCTTTTTCTTTTTTTTTTTTTTTTTTTTTTTTTTTACAGTGAAGGCATTCTTTCAGGATGGCGCCAGGCAGCTCAATGCTTGCAGACAGCTGTGGCGCGACGCAACTTAAGGAGGGTCTGTCAGTGTCATCAGTTAAGGGGAGGGGCCTGCCCTAATTGAATATAACGTGGGCCAGGAGAGATGCAGAAGTGCTGCAAGATTTTTTTTCAATGACCTTGCCAAAAAAATATATTAATCAAATAGGGATATTTCTGTTCAGTAGCCTAGGCCTTATTAAACTTAACACCCTAGTTATGTATGGAAACATAATGGGGTGCTATGGGAGTATAGGAAGTTATTGTGGCACCTTTTAAATTATATAAGACATAGACATAGTAGATGTAATATGTACATAAATATAAATAAGCAATTAAAGAAAAACAAACATTTTTAAAACAGAAAATGTAAACAGCAACCCCTCATAAAGGCGTCTGAACCAATGATTTAAAATGAAATTAGTAAAGAACACTGACATATTTGGGTTTTAATATATAGGCCTACGTCTGATTACACCATCGACTAAAGTCTGCACTTTTACAATCAGTCTGCTGCATTTTAAATGTGCACATCCGTAGCAAGTGAAAAAGAAAGGGCTGCAGCAGAGCCTGTTGCTCTGGGCCAGTGGCAGGTTGTGGGACATGTACGCTCTTAAAATTGTGACAGTGCGTCCTCTCGCGGTGACAGGCACATTATCCTAATAGCAGATCCGAATTGAACCGATCTGCTCAACTTGAAGCAGGCACGGCAAAGGACGCCTCGAGACTGAGCTTACAGTCTACAAAAAAAAATTAATTTTTAATTTTTAAATCCTAATGTAGGCTATTACTGCCTGTCAATTAACTTACTCAGTATCTGTGCAACAATCTGCCCACTGCAGCAACTCAAACAGACAAGCAATAATCGGCCATGTCATTATTTATTCAAAACGGTGCATTAAATGTAACACGATAATGCACACGGGGATTTACCCCACCTCGCTTTTCATTTTAATTTTTTAATTTTATCAAATAGACTAGCAACTATAATTTAAAGGGAAAACCTTTCCCTCCAGATCAGAGAGGAATTCACCCTGAATGTCCAGTGTCATACGGGCATGATGCCGTGCGTCTGCGGCTTTATTCACTTTATTGCGCGGGAGAACAGGGGCTGCTCCTTGGGGACGTATTTTATGTCTAAAGCCCAGTTTGGCTTCTCCATGTACTTTCAGATTTGCTGTGTGTAATAGTAGCGTAGGGTGTGTGTGTGTGTGTGTGTGTGTGTATGGGGTGGGGGGGTAGTCTTGGCGACGCCACTGGATGTGACGTCACCGCGGTGTAAACAGTCAGGAAATGAGCCCTGCGCGCAGTGGGTGCAGCGGGAGCGCGCACGCCCTTGCACCACGTAGGTATCAGCATTATCTTGTGACAGTCTTGTATCAGGTAGGATCGGTTTAATGAGGGATTCACTGGCTGCACAAAACATGCATGCAATGGACTATCAGTAATCAATAATAAGATAATCGGTTAGACTAAGGTTGTAATTTAGACGTTAGTATGACCCACATGTTCAGGTGATGGCTCCATTAATTCCCAAATTTATTTCCCCCTCTTTGATATCGAGGTTGTTCTCAGCCGGGCGCGTGGGAGCACAGACTGAGAGAGACTTGGCAAAGCGTCGTATTTTTCCTCTCTAGGATAGCCCTACCTGGAGAAAGAGAGAGAGGCAGAAAGAGGGAGCGTTTCTCACTCAGGCAAACCTGAGACTGAACTTGGATGCAAACCGCTGTAGCTGCCATTGTCAAGCTGTCAGCGGACTCGTGTAATTATCCTCTTGAAAAGTATCGCGGAGCCATTATCCACAAAGTACCCGTTATAGGTGCTCAGAGGCAACACATGACGGTAAATGTAGCCTAAAATCCCGATTATGTTTTTTTGTTTCTTGACTGGATGTATCGAAGCTTAGAGAATGGGACATGGAAGCCGTCCCATGACTTGATTCCCAAGCCTCGGTGTCAATAACGCCGGAGCTTATTCAGCACGGAATAAGACTGGCTCTCTTAAAAAGTTGTCATTTATAATCCCAATCTGTCTCCACGAATGGAGTACTAGCTTCAACTATTTTTCTCTCTGTGTGAGAGAGAGAGAGAGAGAGAGAGTCTAAAACAAGCCCCTACATTAGTCTATTTTTTTGCTAAGTTGACGCCCTACAAATAGCAGCGTTAGGTTTATTCATAAAAGTAGGCGAGAGGCCAGTCTGGCTTTTGATGGCAGAGATAATTTGTGTGTGAGTGATTATGTCAGCCAGCTCTGATTAAAATCAAGACATGGAGTAGTTCCTTTTTCTACATTGCGCCTGAGAATTAAGAGACGAACAGATTATTCAATTGCCAGCATGGGGGATGAAATGTTTCAGAAAACGTGTGTGTGTGTGTGTGTACTTTGGCCTAAACTTCCTGTGTATCAGCAATTAGAATCATTGTTTTTAAATAATTTTATAAATAACAATTTCCTGCAGCCAGCTGATTAATCAGAGGGCAGAGAGATAAAAACACACAACACTACATTATGATAGTAATATAACACCACAACTTCAATACTAATAATAATCCCCATCATCACCCTATATGTTCCTATATTTAAAATATCAGCACATAGCCTATGCAGGCAATTAAGAAACAAGAGCAGATACAATTTACAATATTAAAAATAAAAACGTGTGTGTGTGTGTGTGTGTGTGAGAGAGAGAGAGAGAGAGCGCTTTGATATTTGGATCCATGTCATAGTTTGCTCACACTTTTTCACACATTTCAGCATATATTATCCAAAATAGCCGCGACTAATATCAACCTTTCATCATGATAACAAAATTAAAAAAATAAAAAGCACGTGAGGGCACATGACAGGAGGAAAACACACACGACATATGTTACATGTATGAATAATAAATAATAAAAGGAGCATTAAACCGCCCTGATGCTTCATGTGTCGTCTGACCTGACAATGAAGATGCAGTCTGATTAAAACTGCTACCGGCTATGGTGCACTTGCACTAGCCTATATTTTACTGGTTAAATGCTCATTTATACATTTTGAAACTGGTATAGCACCGCAGGTAGCCTCTATGTTACAATACTTACTATGTGAGTCATTTATCACCTTTCTTGTCTTTTCAAGAAAATAGCTGCTATTCTGTCAGCATGTGAACCAACTCGGCTTCTTAGAACAAAACGAGGGCGTCAAATTCTGCTTGTCGAGCGCGTGAAACTTGAAAACAGAAGTGGATTTCCTAGAATGATTTAAAATGAGAACATGAGCTGGATAGGATAAATCATCTTTTCTTCGAGTGTAAAAAAAAAAAGGCAGCACTTTTTTGTGTGTCATTCTTCCAAACGAAAAAAAAGAAAAACAAAACGGTCTGCCAATTGACTGACTTGTGATGCTTATCTGTGTCTATATCGCTTCTCGCCAGACGCTCTGATGTAATCTTTCATTTGACGCGCAGGGGCCTTTTCACCTCTTAGCCTGTACATCCCCAACAGAAACAAAGTCATTCATATTTTTGGCTGATTTATTAATTCTGGTTTTACCGCTACACCAAGTTATCAACACTGTAATTTGACTCAATTTAAATTTTGAGCTCAAATTTAATCCGGAGTCTGAACGTCTGTGTGACAACTCCCGTAATGACGTGCGAGACAAAATCTCGATACTGACACGAGATTCAAATGAAACCACAGTACCTGCTGTCCTTCTTTGTCACGCACGGGGCCCGTGGTGGATTTTTAACCCAGTTTAAAAGATTTTTTTTTAATTTAATAACATTATAAAATTTTATCCTACCCCAGTATGATTATTTTGAAAGGGGGGGAAATGACAAAAACATATAGGCTACAATAGCCGTTGGGATCAATACAAGGTTGCACGAGGACTTCTCTCGCGCTCTCTGTGCATGCAAATAACCGTTAGAGCTCTTGGCCCGTGACAGTGCGCCTGTGATGCCCTTAATTTGGCATCCTATTCATTCTAACTGCGGCTTTCTCTCCGCCATATCAAGAAATATCGACCAAAGACGAGATGGAGGAAATTAATAACGGGGGAAACGCAGCCTCAGCGAGCCCAACTCCTTTTTTATGACCCGCCGGCAAGGTAATCAGATCAATTTCACGGCTTCTATGGGATTCTGCCTATACCACCAACCTGAGCGGTAGGTATGGCTAATAGGTCGTTAAAACCCCTCATCTGCTCTATTTTGGGAGCTGGTTTTGAGATGGGTAGCTAAATATTTAAAGAACTGCAGTTGACTGTCGATCAGCCTTTTACACATCAATCCCAAATCGAGCTGCACATGTGTGAACATGAGCGGAAAAGGCGAGCATCGCTAATTATTACCACAACAAAAGTCGCTTGTTTTTGAAGAATTAGCAGCGCCTTTCGGTCAAGAACAAACGCACCAGCTCGCAACGATGTTAAAGGCAACAATGGCGGTCGTTATGGATGTTGTAGCCAGTAGGTATCAACACTACAGCCCTTTTTTCAGCAAGTGCACACAGGCGATGTGCAGAGACATGAAGTGTAACCGGCAGCTTCCTCTCTAGCTTGAATGAATTCCGGCAAATGTGCAGCTTTTTTTCGTTTTACCTCATTTATTTTCATTTAAGAGAACGTGCAAACCCGTTCACAAAAGTTTCTCATCATTCATAGACGAGCAACATCAGTGAGCTCTCACATACAAAGCCGCTGAGGGAAGAGGCAGCCTATTGGACAGAGCATTTAGGATGCACCGGCTTCAGAGCAAATCTAAATATTTACTGACCTGTGGTGGACGCTGGACGGATGGAGGCGTTTTTTCTGCAGATGTGAAGAAAGAGTGACATAGAGATGTGGGCGCCGATGGCATTTAGAGAGAGACAGAGAGAGAGAATGAAAAAGGGCGAGAGTGAGAGCAGTGGACGGGGAAGAAAAAAACACACACATACACAGCGGCGGCGGTGGCGGTGGTGGTGCGCGCGCCCTCGGTCCCGGAGTCACATCTTCGTAACACACCGCGAGGAGAAACGCGCGCATAGGCTAGCGGGCAGACTGCACGCGCATATGGGCCAACCAAAAGGCGGCCTCTTTACCGTATGCTGTACTGTGCATGCCAGCTCTTCCGGGTCTGAAAGCATCACAAGTTAGGGGAACAGAAACCCAATTAAAAAGCAATAGAAACAAACCAATGTAATAAATGATATTGCAGTTACAATATAAGTCATTGATTTACTGCTACCAAATATATTGCTATTATTATTTTTATATTATTATTTTTTTTTGTCTTTTTGTTTTTATAATATTTTTATAGCTAGATAAAGGCAAGTGCAACACCTGATCACACCAGGTGACGCCCACAGTTAAAGGCCAAATATAGATGCCTCCATAATTAGATGTAGGACATAAAAATACTTTTTTTCATCGTTACAAATAAGAAAAATCTGTTTTAATGGGCCTTTTATATTATAAACGTGGTACATTTTGTGCTTGAGCAATGCAGAATTCCGTAAGTGTATTATCTGTACAACCACCTTTATAAGAATGATGCCTGTACAGTTTGTGCTCTGCAGATATTCCTGTGCAGAATACAAGATCTCTCCGTGACATAAAATGTTACACCTCCTTTTGTGTTGGAAGAGGAGCCCTTTCTCTCCTCTGCCACAAAGGACAGGTGAAGCCATAGCTGGTGACTAATCAACACCAAAGATCCGCGCCAAACTCCACAGCAATTAGAGCTCCATTTGAACAATGTGTAAGCAAACAAATCCGAATTCTTTCCGTATCAATATGGTAATGTGATCAGAGCAGTATTGTGGTCTGGTGGTTTGAGCAGTTGTTCTGAAAATGGCAAAGCTTCCCCATGCATCCACCACTAACCCGGAGCATATAGAGGCCTACTAGCCTGCTTATTGACACCATGGTTCATTGAAAGGAGCACCAAGCAAATCCGATCCTTCTCTGTGTGAAGCACTAAGGAAAAGAGAGAGGAGAGGGAGGAGAGAGAGGATGCTGGAGGCTTGGTATCTATCATGTTGCGCCTTGACTCTTCGAAGGAGAATGTAAACTGATCACACCCAAATCTATCTTTGGGGAAGAAATTCAATTAAGGTAATAAATTAAAGATAATTGGCGCAAACCTCGTTGTATAAACTTACAAATGCGACTGCAGCCAAATGTGTCTTTTTAAACCAATGAATAATTCAGTATTTCCACGCAGGGTAAGCAGAGCTTTTCATTTATGGAATTAGTAGCCTTTTTCAATATCTAAATAGAAATACAAAACAACATATCCAGATAGTAATGATTTTATTAATCTGCTTTTGACGTAAATGAAGTGCTTATTTTTGGAATTATTAGTTCTTCGATTTCAATGTAAAGGTGCTGTTAATGTGCGTCTGTGATAAATGCGCATACTGATGGCTTTGATATAAGCTAATCAAAAACAACGGTTAAACCAGTATTTATGGCGCAGATAATTAAAGCATATTATAGGTGTAGCCTCATAAAAAGATTAATTATGAGGAAAATAACGAATCAATTTTGTTTTGTTCAGTCGAGATACAATTTAATATGGGGGGAAATAAATGTTCATTTTGAATGGGAGCTGATCTAAAATGACATGCATTTTTTTTTTTTTTGGAAGAGGAGGGGTGCAGATTTTGTGCTGTCAATCCTTAATTAATTGTAAATTGAGACTGTAAATGTCCTGGGTGCAGTTTAGGGTTTACCTTACGTTCCTAGGCCACCACATTAGGGGTACGGTCTCAGTTTTCCACTCCCCGAACCGGGCTATAACGGGAGCGCGAGCGCGATGCCCAAGTCCAAAGTCACGCTCCTCTTCTTCCGCGTGCGCCCTCCGCCGTGAAATCGCGTGATTAATGTAGAATTTGACGCGAGCTCCCGCGTGACAGCAGAGGCTGACAACAGCTAAGCGCAAACCCTCCGGTACACTGGGCCATAATAACAAGCAGAGCCTGCGCACACTGGCCTTTTATTCCCATCAATTCAATCACAGTCAGCTGATATTTCTAATCTCACCAGCAGATAGAATGAGGAGTCATAATGTCACCTTTATATTCTGATTAAATACAGCAGCATTTTCAGTCACATGCAGCTCACCTTTTTAGAGTTAATTTTGCAGTTTCAAATTGTGCAGCTGCAAAACATCCAGTGGAGCAGCGCTTTATCTGTAACCCACCCCTGTACCGTGGCTTTTCTGCCCCGTTAGTGCATAAACGGAGTAAATCATTTACGGTCACCCGCTTTTATAGCCTCCTGGTGTAGCCTAAATTTTATTAGACACTTCCCACTCCAAATGTGAAATAAATGCTGCAGTATATATCTCCCTTTTCTCCCTGCCTACATGATTCTTCGCTGTAAATGTCGAATAAGATGACCTTAATTTGAGACAAAACACCTCCAAAAATGTATGGGCCACGTATTATCTATTTACTTATTTATTTTCTCAATGTGTTTTATTATTCTCGTCCTGTGCACCCTCCAAACGTTAAGCCAATGTGTTTTTTTTACGGCGGCTTCTCCCTGCGATTTTATTTTAAAATATTAGGCCGAGGTGGGGAGAATTATAAACGACTCTGCTCTTATCTGCTCCCTTCACGTATCCAGGATCACAGAAGCTGATTAAGAAAGAAGTCACAGCCAACGCTGGATTCATAATGATTTGGAATAATGAATCCTTATCTCCCCTCTGCAGATTATCAGCCTTTCAGCTCGCCATGTTTTGTTACATGGGATAATTTATTGCATCTAATACATCACAATGAATCTGATGGGGGAAAGTGATGGCCATGTTAGGAGAGAGGCTGCTTTTTTTATCCCGGGGCAATGAAATGCCTTTACGATTTTTAATTGGTAAAATATAAGGGGGATCTGATAAAAAAAAAAGAAAAAAAAAGGAAAAAATAGAAGCACAGGGGTATAATCTTGCCTGCTAGTGTTCCAGCAGCACTCTGCACTATAATTAGTGTGTCAATTTCAACCTGAAATTAACAGCATCGACCTGCCATCACTGCTTACGCCGGTGGAGTCAGCTAGATCCTAATTTCGCATGATTTATTTTTCACCAAGAAGAGATAATTAATCATAAACACTGAAAACAGTGCAGCAAAGTGGAGATAACAAAATATTTGCATCTAAAAAGATTCGATGAAGCTAATTCGTTTTCACCCCCACCTCCCCCCTCCATCCCAAGCCCACCTGATCTAGCCGCTGCCGCAGTACTCATGAGTACCTCCAAGATTTTTTAATTTTCCATGATTAATCTTTGGGTGGCGATGTATCATTAATCACTACATAAGATGGGGGAACGGAGACACGTGGCCCCCTTCGTAAATGTAAATAGCGGCTACAGTGTGGGGAACTGTAATTGTTGGATTGTGGAAGTGTGGCATCATGTGCATGGTGGTGTCACTGTTGTTGGGAAGCATGCCATCTTTCTTTTTTTTTTTTTATTGAAAGGGGTGGGAGGTGTAGCCTGGTAGTCCCAACCACCAGGATGCAATGTGCAGAAGCTTATATAATAATAATGATAACAATATTAATAATAATAATAACCAGTATATCCATATATTTATTATTATTATTATTATTGTTATTGAATAATCATTCTTTGTTTGGAAGTCGTCACTGGCACAGTGCCCCTGCAGCTCAGAATTTTTGGATGGCGCTATGTTTAAACTTGGGCATGCTCACCGTGCCAGGATAAATTTGCATTTTATTTGCAGCTGTAATTAGCTGATCAGCATCTCTCTTTCTCCCTCTCACTCTCTCTGCCCATCTTTCTTCTCATTATGATTTAGTGTTTTCGCTGCCTCTTTCAATGCCTCTCCCCAATCCCTCATTTTTCCAATGTCCTGGCAGCGCCACCAGATGTTTATCGGTTTTATACCCAGGGACACTGCCATGTCAAACAAACCGGGGATGGACACTTACAGGCGGCTGGGTATCCAGGCAAGCCCTCCCCCCACCTCTCCTCTCCCTCCCCCCCTCCTCCTTCTCTTTCCTGGCTGAGCAGAATAATCCTGGACTGGGTGGCCACTGGGAGTCCAGTGAGGGTTTCATATGAAAGAAAAACAGCCAGATCACATTGGTTGTTGCTTAAAGGGGTCTACAAAATAGCCTGATTTAATTCACCCTGTGAAAGGAAATCTTAATCTTTTGTCAGTGCAGAAACAGGCCATATAGTGGTTGATAGGAGGCTGATGCTGCGGCCTAGATACTGCAGATAGAGATGTGTAGATGAGCTTAATGAGATGCAAGGCTGGGGAGTTGGGGGACACACATCCAGTCAGGAGTCCTCCCAGGAGAGCTCAGCACAATGCGACCTGCCTGTTATCTGCAGGGGAATGTACTCTCTCTTTAATGAGCAGTCGTTTATTAAAAACACACACTCTTTTAACCTCATAATTGAAAAATGGCTTTGCAGGAGGAGCGCCTCGACCCCCCACATTGCAGCTCCACTGGAGGACGTATACAGTAGCTATCTCAATGTAGATCACCTGTGTTGCAACAATCACAACAACACGTCAGAGGGTTTTGCAGAGCCCCCAGTTGGCCATGATATACAAATATTTATCCACTGATAAGGAACCGCCACGATAGCAGATAACCTCCTATTCCACTGCGTCAGGACTCTTTGTCTGTACAGTCTCAGCAATTACAAAATATTTCCCTTTCCTTCCCGTTTTCACTCTAAAAACTTCCCGCCTTGCTTTTAATTCGTTAAAGCGTTATTAGGATCCCTAAGCCGCTTTAGTCAATGACTGTTTGTGGGGTTGTGGAGTCTGGAAAAGAGAGAAAGCAGAGGAGGAGAGATGTGGGGAACCGGAGTGGGAGGAGGGTTTCCCAAAAAAAAAAAAAAAAAGAATGAATGAAAGAGTGGCTTGATTTTCCCTCGCAATCCACGGAACAAATAGCTAACATTTAACGTTTACACCCTGCCTGGCGACTCACTGGCGCTGCGGGGCCGAGCCGAGCCGGGCTAAAGTGTCCCGAAAGCCTTTGGAGGGGTGTAAGTCCCCGGCTATCGGGTTCTCCAGATCCCCTTTAAATGACTGTCAAAGAGGCAAATATCAAATTGCACGGGGTCTCACTCTCCCCACCCTCTCTCGCTCTTTCAGCAGCCCCTGCCAGCCTGGCACCAGTAATGCGTTACTGTAATGTGATTACTTCTCCAAGAAAGCAGGGATTTCCAGGGAGCTGATTCTTTATTTTCAACATTTGACTGTAGTTGTTTTTATTAATAGTGAACACGGACATCGGACAAATGTTAATCGAGACGTTTTATTTGAAAATAAACACTTTTCTCCCTTAAGATGGACTACTATAATAACAAAGTTTGATTCGTGTCTAATAATTTATCATGTCTTGTCAATCGTCAATTTAGGGGGAAAAAATATTATACATGTAGAAAGTTTGTAGGACTATTTACATTTATTAATTTATTAAGAGATGGTCTCATAAGCAGCAATAAAGTGCAAATTATCACAATAAAATTAAGTGAACTGAGGTTAATTGTGATTTGTGTTTGGTGGTTTCTTATTACATGACAGGTGTGCCACTGCAAGGAATGAACAGATCCTGAAACAATAGGTGATGCTGTTGGTTTAAATAAAGTCTGGATTGTTCCAAATAAAAACACTAATAAAATAGATTTGAGCACAGTAATAACAAGCATATTACATATACATATTATAATACTGCAAAGTCCAGGAAATAACAATATTAACAATCAGTGAATTAAGTAGGGCCTCTGATAGCCTACACCAGTGATAGCCAACCTGGAGGTCGGGACCTCCCAATGGGTCGCAATATGAATCGGACAGGTCATGAGACAAAATCCAGAATGGGGAAGCAGGAGGGAAAAAAGTTCAGATTTTTCCTTGTGTGTTATGAGAATCTTTTACATGTTCAGGACCCTAATGTGTTGAATCAAAAAACAATTTTGAGGAAGAAAATCCCATTTTGGTTGAACTGGACACACATAGCCAGTGACAAGCAGACAAAGCTTTTGAACCATTTGCCTACACAATGACATGGACTCTAAATATTAAAGAGCAAGGCATTTTACACAGAGCTCCCCTTTTTCTTTATAATGTCATGTGTTTAATAAGATACTGGTTTAGCTGAATATAGTAGTTCTTATGCAGCTGTACACCTGCAGCACTAAAGCTAATCATATAAAGACACCTGTTACTGCTTTAAACACATTTGTTGTACCTTTTCAGCAAAACATTGTAGGCTATATCAGTGTGTTGCTATAAGACACCTTTTCAGTAATAATAGCATACATCTGCTCAGTTCCTCAGTGGTCCAGCAATAGAAATCAACAAAAATATCAGCATGTGCTTCAGTTCCTATTTCACACACAAGATAAATAAATAAAAATCATGAATCTGTTCATCGCTAACAGAACTGAATGCAGTTTTTAATGCTAATTTACACACACTGTGAACCTCAGATGGATCTTATTCTACAAAGATAAATGCAAACCCAAGGTTATAAAAACTTCAAGTTTCCTAGACACGTTTGTGTTGAAAATAGCATTCCCCCTTTTAACAGTGTATAGAGTAGCCTTATCTACAAAAGGCCTAGCACTATGCATTGTCATTAATCTTCACCAGGCTAATTAAATTAATCCATCGCCTCTTGGCATTGGAATATAACGACCACCACTAAATCCACTGCAGGATAACGGATTTGTTTTTAAAACGGAAAGAGTCCCCTGCTTTAATAGCTTACAAAACGCACCAGGCCGGATTCATTATCTTTTTATTTTTCTAACGGATGATTCCAAATAAAACCACCTTTTGGGTTTCAGAGTGTAATTTTTTTTGTAAACGGAAGGAGGCTTGGAGAGTTGTGGTTTTGATTGACAGTCCGTCCGCGGGATCATGTTTAATCCCTGCCTCTCTCGAGCCTGTTCAGAACTCATTTCTCCACCACGAGATGGGGGACTCAGATGGTTGCCGGGGTAACGGCGATAGTGCTAAGCCATTTCCATTTTCTGCGAATGAAGGAGGGGGCATTTGCGACAGAGGTCGTCACAAAGTCATTCACAAATACAGCGGAGGGGCTCATTACTCAGGAGCAAACAGATTACTCGTTACTTTGCTCAAAAGTAATATGTGTTCATCCATGACTCATTGAGGAGCAGGGGCCTCAGTCATTGCTCTTTTGGAAAAAGAAGCATAGGACCTACCCTTTTCTTCAATAAAAGTAGGCCCTACGAATACCACAATGCAAAAATACTTAAATACAATTAAAATTACAAAAGTATAAAAAGTTAAAGTTCTGCAGAAAAAATGGCCTCATGTGATTGATGTGTTATTAGCCTGTTTAACCTACAGTTTAAACTAGTGGTTGATTGGGCCCCCTTCTAAAGGGTCAGAAGATAAATGAGGCAGTGAGATGATTAATGGGGTAGGAAAGTTCTGCACAACTTTGTGTGCACTCAAAGCGCTTTACACTATATGTCACATGTTAAGTAACTACTGACTTGCTCTCCAATAAATGTAGTGGAATAACAAGTAAAATATCTTCCTCACAAATTTAGTAGCAGAAAATGGTAATACTCAAATAAAGTACAGTTAGGATACCTAACCTACTATAGTACGTCCTGTTTCAAAATTGACTGTTAATCAGCTTAATCTCACCTTTAAATCCCCATAACAATCATCTCTTCATGTAGAAAGCTGGATTGCACTGATGTCCACTTTTTAACATCATTTTACTAATATCTACAGCTAGATAAACTTACACTAAATTATGTTAATTAGGCTATTATAAAGTGAATGGGAATGTAGGCGGAAGCATTGGTGTAATTCAGCTTCCATATAAAAATTAAGGTAAAGAGAGGGTCACTGATTATTTGTTACTTTACTCAAAAATACAGTAATATAATTTAGTTATATATTACTCACTAGGGAGCAGGAGCCTCCCAAAATTTTATTGGACTGACAAACAAACAATGAGATATGTAAAGGCACAAAACTGATCATGATGAATGACATCAAAATCAACTGATCAAACAAAAATACAACACATATGTGTGATGTGGTGATGTACTGGTTTAGTTCAGCTTTCATGTAAAAGCTGAATTGCGAAGAGTCTGCACTTTTTTGATATTAATGGACATTCAGACTTACAAACCCACGTTAAAAGATTGAAATTCAGACTATAGTCTACAAACTGGGGTAAATATGAGATTTAGTTCAAACCCATTCCCATAAAGCTTCTCAACAAATCTTATATGTTTCATTTTGTACTTTTAATTGTGGATTCACTTACCTTTAATAACCCTGTAACAGGCAACAGCCTGAAAATAGAATACAAGCTTTTATTGTGCAACAAACTGAAAGCTACTTAGGGGGAAACGAAGGTGGGAATTTGATGTGAAGGGGTTAAGCACGGTAAAACTGACACATGCATTTTCCCTTCTGTTTCTTCAGATAAACCGGCGCACGGCATCCAGTGACGACGTCCACGAGAAGGTGAAGATGAACCGGCCTTTCTGATCAAAGCACCCGTCTACTATAAAGCTCAAGGCTGGCCTTCCTAGGCGGGTATATTGCCTTTATTCTGAGGGCACACACACACATTTCTTCTTCACCCCTTAACAGTGAGAAATGCCTTTTGCTTTCAATCAGGGTGCACAAACCTGACATCTTTCTTTTTGCCATTTTAAATCAACTCCCTGCTTCACCTGCATTTGGAATCCTGCACCCGTCTCCCCGGGGTGCTGCTTACATATAACCAGGTTGACAGTGTCAGCGTGCCGGCAGGGTGTTAATGCACTGCTTGTTAGTTTTAATTAAGTAGCCTATAGCCTGGTGATCAGTGAGATCAAGGGCAGTAATTTAAATAAGAAGCACACGTCTCCAGTAAACTGCAGGCGAGAGTGTTGGCTCCAGTTCCGCTGCTTTTCTCCATCACCTGGCCTCATTAATTCAAAACATCTTTGCCTTTCGGTTGACATGACACTACACCTGTCAGAACATAGCCCACTCCTCAGTCAGTCCTGGCATCAGTGGTCTCATAATTTTATTTTCACCACCGACCAACTTTCAGTCTCAGCAGAGAGCCACGGGCGTCTGCAGAGTTTATTTGGTCTGTGTCTACACGATAAAGAGGAAAGTTAGGTGAAGGACAACAATCTTGTAGAGGAGACTGATCAGAAGGAAATAATGATAATAAGGCTAATAAGGTATCTCTCTCCAGCACATTGTTGAAGAGTTTGCATGCCGCCTATGAGGCTGCTTAAATTAAGCCACATCCAGCAGGGATTTTTTATACTGAATATGCAAACATATTTGACAACGAATAGTGTAATTGCAGATGATGCTGTAGGCCTGTCTTTAAAGAAAAAGCTTTCAGAATATTCAAACTGCCCTCCATTCACATCACACCCTTAACAGCTTTTGAAAAGCTGATGTTTTAAAAGAATTGATAAAGGAGAGAAGATCCGCGGGCAGCGGAGATAGAAGAGTTGCTTTCAGGCTAAATACAGTCTGACGCAGTCAACACATCTGATGAAAGGTCGGGATATTGTTTCAAGAGTAAGCAGAAAAACTATAAGTTACAGATTGTTTAAAGAAAATGGGTCAATTATGCAGTCTGAACTTTTAGAAGAACATTTCTTACTTTTATTAAAGGAAAACAGCTGCTTAGAAGTGTCCAGATTTGGATTGGCTGTTCGCCCTGACCTCAAAAAATTGCTAACATGTTATAACTTCATGCTGTATCCTATTGATACAAATTTTATTAGTTGGATTTAAGCTATTTTAATTACTTTATTTTCAGCATGAAAATTGGTCCAGAGTTTAAATGTTTTCAATTATTTAATAAATTCAACCCATTAATATGTACACTGAGGTTTAAAAGATTCATTTGAATACAACACATATACACAGCATTATGGGCTATGCTTGCATTGTGGAGCCTCACAACTTTAATATTTCTTAACATTGAATCCACAGTGAATCACAGCCGCTGAGCTGCCCACTGGACTGGACTTCTGGCCACACCCCCAACAGTCATGTCAGAGCAGGAGTTTCCCATCACCTGATAAAGGTAAAACGCTCGAACAAAAAGAAGCAGCAGCTGTTTTCTGCCTTTTTATTTAGTGTTCATTACTTGAGTTATGAAGGTCAGTCATTTTCCAAAGGTATCATTTAATGTTGTTTCAAATTTGACAAAGAAATTCTCAAACCACAGCCCACTTTTTAGCTTCTTCCACAGCTTTCTCACCTAGAAAACCATGAGATGAACCTTCACGCCCAACAATGTTTGAGTTTTTGGGCAGTATTAGAGTTTGGGTCAAAGGGTGTGGTTCCCCATTTTTTTGCGTGCATGAGGACGCAAGTGATACACTTTCCTGTTGACAGTTTATGGCGGTAGCGCTCAAAGAAGCTAAACAATGTGCCAAAAAAGGCAGGGAAGAAGACTGAAAGCTAAAAAACATGGATATAAACAATGCATGGTTTAAAATATTCAAAATGTACAAACGTTTTATGAGGAAGGAAATGCATTTAATATGTTTGTTAGACCTTGAGGATACACACAATTTGTTTAATGAGAAATGATGAATGTAAACATTACTTTTGTTTGTTTACAAGAAAACTCCACAGGGCACCTTTAATTGTGAGATAACCATTAACAAGGCATTAAAAATGTTTACAAATGTGTAGGCCTACATTTTTGGCAAATTACTCTTTTCTACTAGGGAAAACATTTCCAGGTGAAACAAAACAGTCGTCCATAACTGCAAAACTTAAATAAATTTTGTGGTTTTTTTTACAATGTTACAGTTTAGTCCTCCTTAACCTCCTTAAAATGCCTCTTGCAATTCTACTGTTTCCCTCCAAACCCTGCAATTCAAACATAAACTCATGAGGAATAAGTAAAGATAGACAGGCTCTTCTAACATTCGGGTCCCAGTAGATGTACTTAGGCCGCTGCTAATAAGACACTATAATCTTATCTGCTTCTCTTCCTTCAAAAACATATCCATCACAAACTTATCCATGAAAACAGATAATGTTATTGTTAGATCTCCCTGACCTCAAAGTATTTCTTCCAACGAAAACAACAGGTGTAAGATGAAAAGTGTGCAGCTTGAAGACAGAGAAAGTGGTGTTGTTTTTGTGACAATAAGGACCTGATTGAAGTGTTACCTTTTAACCTCCTCACAGAGGCCCTGTGGCATTCCTGCGGTAACTTGGTAGAGTCTTCCTCTTGATGACAAAGTGCTTCCTGATTACAACCTGGATGGCTTTTTAAAACAGTTAGATGATGAAAAAGTGTATTCGAGGCTCGCTCCCACCTAAAGGGAATTGTGACCTATATGTGAACTATTGCTGTTATATACGTATCAAACATATACATCAGCACACAAATGTACAGGCTTAACAGATTTGGCCCACGTCCTCGCAATGTCAACTTCTGAGTTTAAGATGAGAGGAAAATACTACAATCAGTACCTAACTCATGTGGAAAACAGTCGTTATCAATTTTCCTACATGCAGCACCAAACTGCTACCGTCTGTCTACTTGGGCCAGTGTCAGTTTTTGGAGGAAATAGGAATAGATCCCAAAACTAAAAGGCTGCAATTTTCCTTTGATTAGTCTTATCATAGAGCAGAAATCTCAGACTGTTCTGGCCCGTCATTAAGTCCGATGCAAGTGTAGGGATATTCCAGTATTACAAGGTTATGAAAGCTATCAAGAAAATGGTGACGTCATGATTAGGTTTCTGTATTTACTGAATGGAAGATTGGGCAATTTAGATATATCCAAATGGCCCCAGCAACAATAAGGGAACAACCTCTGGTGAGGAAAGTGCAACAAAAGCAAGGGTGCTTTTTTGTATTCAGGGATGTCAACCTATCTACTGAAAAGTAGAGGGACATGGATGAAAAAGGAGTAAGAGACTGGATAACTAGAAGCCCCACAGGCATCTGCCACTCATCTGCCACTCAACCGATGCAGATCCAGTTTGATTTTTAACTCCTTAATACTTGATTGTGTCTGGGGCGTGATAAAATAAGTCACTGTTTCAGCCGAGAGCAACAAAGTGTCAGTCAGAAGCCGTGGCGACGATGTGCTAAAAGGCTTTCTGTGCTTCTGGCGCAGACAAGCAGATACAGAGCAGATTATGCTTTATTAGCTGTTCATGGAGACTTAATTGTGAGATCAAAGTTAACAGTGTTCCATCGGTGCGAGGCAGAGCAGATTTCATTAGGCTGAGAAATATCAGTGCAATAATAGTGTCATCTGCACACAGAGTTCAGAACTCAGAGTATCTTAATAATATTTTGGGACAAACTGGGACAGGAAATTCAGCCACATGTAGCCATTTGAATGGAAAAACTTGTTATAAATGTTTCAAAATTTACAAAAAAATTACTAAATGACAAATACAATTGAGAGCATGATGGTTACATTGAAAATCAGAAAAGCATTTTATATTAAAGAGGTTAAAATGAAACCCCAGTGAATGGAGCCAAGTTATAACACTGTTTGTCAGTGTTAGCTGTACGTATATACTGTAGTAACACTTTATATGGTATGTTGTACAACTTACTGCATGAATGACAAATTGGGACAGGGAGGCTAAAAAGAGACACATACAATTTAAATGTTGAACAATGTATTGCAAGTGCAAAGATTATTCTCAGCTTTGCAATGCTTTAGAAAAAGTGAAGGTGGCCCGAATCAGCTTGTAATGTGCAGTGACTTCTGGCCAGTGGTGCCATGTTCCCAGATCTCAGCCATTGACTTGGTTAGTGCAGTGTTTTATTATGAACATAAGATTGTGTTTTCAAGTTGTAATAAACCAGAATAATCCTTTAAATAGACCACAGTCATTCGAGTGCGTGTGTAGTTGGTGCTCAGGGAACAAAAAAGATGCAACAGCCGTAGGATTACTGTTCAGCCTTTTCCTCTGTTTCAACAGCAGTCTTACCTGAGACCAACATGACCGTTCCTTGCCAGGCAGATAGACGTCTTCTCTGCAGAAAGCGAGTTCTTGAATTACACATAGGATTGGATTTCTCCTGGAAGGGAACAGACTTTCTTCGACTCAATTTAGTTCACATCATACACAAGTAGCCTCAGCTACAAGGCTGAGGAATGTCAACTGGGTTACAACATCAATGTTACTGAAAACATTTTGAACCCTACCAAAATGACAGAAACCTGCAGTCGAGTCAAATCAGAACCATACTTCTAAAACTGACACATACATCAAAAACTCTCTTTTCTAGAGTGGATTATCCAAAAAAGAGGAAAAGATTAAGACAACAAATGAGAAGACTGATTTTATACTGTATGTTCCAGCATCCCATCTGTGGCTGGCAGGTACATGTGATTGACAGGCCATAAAATAATATGAGCCCTTCACAGGAGGTGTGGCAGACTGCCACTATTGCTGTGGTTCTGACCCCACATGACCCCTGCTGTAACTGGCCAGTCTCACATGGCCGACTTGTTTTTTATGTCTTGTCTGAGCGACAGTGTCCTTTCTCGCTGCCTCAAACATCACGCACATACATATCAGTTTACTCAAATACATGCAACACCCACGTGAAGTCAGCTCAGTGCATCTGACAGCTCTTTGGCTCATGCTGGCAGATAAGCACCCATCTTCAGTGCAGAGAGGTGGGGATTGGCCTGATGAGGGGGTGCCCCTGTGACCTCATGATACTGTAGGTCGGAGGGTTGGACTTGCTACGTTCCGACCGGTTGGAACTGGGAAATTTCCAAGTTGAAATATCGGACTTCAGACCTCAAAGCGTTTCAGGTGCATGGTGTTGCATGACGCCAAATGTAAACAATACACATAGCTGACCGTGACAAACTTATGTTTCTTTGGCAAGTTTATGCACAGTTAAACCCCTCAGCAGTGCACTTGGTGTTAATAAAAGGCCATTTTATTAAAAACAAGTGATAAATAGAAATTACTTGTAAACTATGTACAATTCTGGCTACATCGGTTGGTAATCCTCAAAAGTCAGCAAAAGTTGTAAGCTATATTTCCAAATGTTTTCACATTTCTGGGGATTTTTAACATTTTCCTGGATAACTTTTGGGTAGAGAAGATGACTTTCAGAGATCGTTTACTGTAACCAGCTCCCTAATAAAACTGACAAATATTTCTACATCAATTTGCATGCAGAACAAGTTTTACTATTTGATAGTATGTATTATTTTAATTTAATACTTGCCTTTTAGTTTATGGTTTACCATTTACAATGTGTGCTTCCATGGGAGCTGCCATTGTTGTGTGACGTCATTCGGCTGCTACCCGTGAAGTTGGGGTACAATTTTTTTCTCCGAGTTCAAAAGTAGGAAATCCGATTTCAAGTGGCGTTCCATAGTACTTTTTCTAGTTGGACGTCACAAATGTCCCAGTTCCGAGTTGCCTGGAATGCAGCACAATACCGGGGTTCCCAAGGCTGCTCCCAAAGGAGTGTTGTTTAGAGGAGGGAACAGAGAAAGTCTAATACATACTTATGCTGCGTTCCAGTCAAAGTTGGAGGTTGGAATTTCCAACTTCCTACCTCCAAGTGTTCCAGGTGCACAAAGCCAAATGTACATAACCAAATAACCTTTGTTCAGAGAAGATGGCTTTCACAGATTGTTTACTGCAACCAGCTAGCTAATAACATTGGCAACATCCATCCATCCATCCATGGTCAACCGCTTATCCTGCGTACAGGGTTGCAGGAACATTGGCAACATATGGCATCAATTTACTTGCATGAATAGGTTTTTATTATATGATAGTATGCATTATTTTAATTAAAAACAGGAAAATATACTTTAAGTTGCCTTTTAGTCGATGTGCACTTCCATGGGTTGTGTGTTGTTAGACAAGAGCTTCTTCACGAAGTTGGGGGTAGATGGATTCGCCCCGAGTTTACAAGTAGGCACTCCAGCTTTGAGTGGCGTTCCATTGTGTTTTTTCTAGTAGGTCGGAAACATTTCAGTTCTGAGTTGTCTGGATTGCAGCATCACCTTCACCAAGACGGGAATCTCCAACCCGTCATTACCTCTTACTTGTGCTTCCT